TTTTAATATAATTTTGCTAACTATCAATTTTGACATATGTGCTTGAGAATGTGAGTGAATGTTTAGAAGCCGTAGTTGGTGTGATGTTTAACTAGTCGAATGTTGCGTGACTGAACGTGTTCTGTTATTGACAAACTTGAGACATTGCCAGTTATGTATCTCGTGAGAGTGAAAGTGTAATAATAATTCCTGATATAGCCTTTTTCGAAACAGTGTGCATGCAGAAATTTTTGCCTCTTTCTTTCATCTTGTGGAAATAAGCCATGTATTTATTTTTCTTTCCTATTAATGCTTTATGTTTTCAAGAAATACTAAAGTACTTTTATTTAACAATGGTTCTCTTTTAAAATTGCTCTTTTTTATCTTTTACCGGCCGAGAGAGCCTATTTTCGGATGTAAGGCCCGTCAAGAGTTTGCACACGTGTGGAATAAATCCGTAGATAAGACATTAGGACCTCTCGTGGAGTCTCTAAGTTCACATAGATGGTAGGCATATTCCAGTAATTTGACGAGTCTATGAAGATCCACTTTTCCATTATTCGATGCTATTTCATGCTTGCCCGATCTTTCTGGATATTCACTCAGTTTCCGTCTAATATGTGCTTGAACGTACGTTTTGAAGCAAATCTTAGATGTGGCAGTATTATATCGTTGCATTTCGAGGCTGTTTGTAGACTTTCATGCGTTCATCATCGTTTTGATCGATTAACATCATAACATGTTTCGTTTCTTAAGCAGTGCTCTGATTTTAATACTGTCAGGTTTTCTGTCTGGCAGTGGAATTCCTTTTTTCTTGCATTTATGTGCGTCGGCAACACACATGAACTGCCGACACACATGAACTCATATGTTAATAGTTAATACTGCTTGATACCTCTCAATTCAACTAGCATATCGATTTAACAGAACACTAGGGCTATGTTTGGTAAGCCTAGTTGATAAGCTAGCTTATAGCTTTTAAGTGAATTTCGAGTTGATAGTTTATGATTTATGGAGTTAGCTTATATGATAAAAATGTTTGGTAAAATTAGTTGATAAACTAGCCGAAATAAAAATTTCAATTGGCTTGTTTGAAAGCTAGCTATCCAAGGAAGCTTATGAGGCTTATGAGATGAACTCGAGATTTTAGAAAAAGCTCATCCTACCAAACCAAGCTTATTTGAATACATGATGCTTATAAGGTAATCAAATAAGTTATAAGATAATTTGTATGCTTACCAAACAGTCTTAACTATTCCTAACAGAAAGAACATTCTCATCACCAATTTACCATTACTAGCCGAGCCGAACGGAGAATAGCAGGTAAAAATTGTAGCCTGAAAAAAAAAAAAAAAAAACAGCCGGTCGAGAACCAAATGCTCGAAACTCCAACGACAACATGTGGGGCCCACGTACTATGCTCCGATGCCGACGAGGCACACGAAAGCCAGGCACAGAGAAATCCCGACGAGGCCGGTGGGGCCCATCACCGCCTGCCGGCTGCCGGAGATCGTGCTCTCGTCGGCCAGAGTGGACTCAACGGTGGCGGCCAGTGGCAGGGTCTTGGTCTGAGCGGCGGCCGGAGATGGGGACTGAACGGTGGCTGGGTGGAAGAACGCATAAGCGTCAGGGGAGATTGCTCGGTTCTCGAATTCGAGGCCATGTTGACGAGTTTCGGCTCGTGAAATGGAGAGACAAGAGAGGATAATTAGGAAGATGATAAGAAGGTATGACATTTGTTTTTCTTCTCTTCAGAGATTGTGCTCAGTTTGTAGTGTGTGTGTGTGTGTTTGGATTTGGGCTTCTGTTTTTATAGGCCGTGAAAGGGGAGGATATTTTTTTTTTTAACATTTGTTAGTTTATACAGATGCAGTAGATGAAAAGAGAAGAAACTCGTGTTTGTATATATGGCTTGGATAGAAAGAAATGATGGTGGTCACACTTTCTATGTTGGTGTTGTTGTGCTTGCTTTTGTTTTTTTAATGAGAGAGAGAGAGAGAGAGAGAGAGAGAGAGAGAGAGAGAGAGAGAGATTTGGGTGGTTATATAACATATATGGCATTTATGGTTTATTTTGTGCCGTAACTATAACCGAACCTATTAGTTTTGCTATGAAATCAACAGTTGGCTACATAGTGGTATCAAACTTCTATATACAACACATAAACTACATGGTGACTTAGAATGTTACTATGATTGCCAAATTTATATAAATTAAAAATGAGAATTACTCATCAACTAAAGCTTAAATATTTGGTGACTTAGAATGTAATTATGATGGCCATTTGGCCATCTTCTTTTCTCTTAATTTGATTACTTCATAGGGATTATAAGGTAAAAGGATTATTATCTTGCTTTGCTTAAAGGATCGGCAAAAGTGTATCAATACTAAAAAAATGATTCAAATGAATGCATACAATTGAGTGCAATAATAAGGGCAAAACTACAAAGCAATTGTATTCAAAGCTATTAAAGTCCTCTCTCTCACCCCCTTTGGTTCAAATTATTACAAAGTTGCAAGCGCATGCATGAAAACTAGAAGTCAATTTGACCACAAATTTAAGTATTTAACGAATTAAAAAGGAAAAAAAAAAAAAACAAAACAAAACATGAACCTCCTCGAAAAATAGAAATCTTTTTATTAGGTGAATGTCTTGTCTTAAAATGTGGTCACCTTATATTTTTAGGGTACATTTTACGGTTGGACCGATATATACTCATCTATCTAAATGTAGTTGATCCAACGGTAAAAAATTGATAACTGCAATATAGTCTCTGTAGGATCGAACTCTCCTACATTATGTTTTAATGTACTCAATCAAAGATTTTCAATGCAAAATAGATATGGATTCGCATCCATATATATATCCATCCTAGTTGTGTATCACTGTATGTATTTAAAATAAATCTGGATAGGGGAATGTACACATTTATCTTAGAGTAAAGATGAATTGTTGCGTGAAGTGGTCTAATCGTAAGGTGGGTCGATCCATCGTAATTTTTAAAAAAGAATATATATGTATGTTGTAAAATGTCATACTTGTGATCATATTGTTTTTTAGATTGCAAGTGGGATTTGTAAAGTTCAATTGCATAAGTCATGTGTTAGAGGTTGAACTTAAAAATTAAAAATTGAGATGTTAATTTTGGAGGTACAAAATTACCACTTATCATAAACATTTTCACATGTTATATACAGTGAACCTCAAAAATTAAAGGGTCACACGATCTGTGCCAATACAGCGTTGCAAAATTACTCATAGTCACATGAGTAACTAGTTAAAAGAAGCCCAATGAGTAAGCCTTAAATTCCTGAGTTAATGGTGGCCAATTAAATGCTCTAGTTTGGTTGTAATTAATTTGGCCTACATCCATCATTAAAATTAGTACATTATGTTAACATTTTAATCATTTCAATGTACATTATGTTAACATTTTAACCATAAATTATTGCAATTCTCTCACATTTCACATCTGTTGTCGAATATTTTGTTTAGCGATAGTCGAAAGTTAAGCGGAAAGTCCTTACGAAAATTGCCATTCTGAATTTCCTTTTTTTTTGGTAGGTCTTTATTCCCGAACAATGTGATATCTTACACTAGGGCTTTTAGTTATAAGTCACAATGTAGAGAAGATTTAAAAGGATTTCCCATAGACAATGTATAATGATTAAGGAAAGAGTCATATGAGTAATGTATTAACCTCAAATCCTTAAAGATTTGTGATAAATAGTTAAATACACCATGGATACTTAAACCAAAAGGCATTTTCATAATTTCTTGTTATACTAAAGAAAGCTAGAGATGAAAAATAGTGTGCTTCAAAATGATTAGCCGACTAAAGCACAGTTCGAAAACCAAGACAAACTGAGTTAATAACAGTGTACTACTTTGAACAATATAAACACCAAGTGAAAGGGGGCAAAAATTAAAACACAGATAAAATATCCAGGTAAAATTGATTGAAGTGCAGAACATCAAGCTCAAGTAGAAACATTTGAATGATTGTATTAGAAACTCATGCTGGGGGTCTTCTTCGGGATTCTACGATTTTACATTTACCACTCTTCCATCAAGTGAATGAAAAAGAATCAATGCACACAAAATGATTTTACATTTACCACTCAACTGAGGATCTTCTACAGTTCTACGATTTTACATGGACCCTTCAGGTTCAAACATAGTAATGAATCAATGCATGCAATTTTTTTTTTTTTTTTCACTCAGCATATTTAATTACTTAGATAATACCAATCTTATATCAAGTGATAACAACCAAAACCAAATGACTGAAAAATGTTAACAATTGGACAGGCAAGTAAAAAAAACCAACAAATCAATGATTAACCACCCATTGAATGGAATTTTTCGAATCCATCCCATACGAAAACAATAAATATAAAAAGTGGATTTCGGGTAAAACGAACTTTTCAATGACGATCTGCTCGAGAAGACCTTGCTTAGCTTTATACTAAAAAGAAAGATCATAAGATAGATTAGCAAATTAACGATTTAAAGCAAAAAAGTGGTCAAGTTTGGGATTGATTTTTTAGGGAACTTTACGCCATGCTTTTGAACTTAAGCAATAAAATTGGTTGTCTAGTTTCCCCCGAACAGAAAGCAGCTTCAAAGCCCGGGAAAGCTAGTAAATTGAGTTTTCTTCCCGTGAATACCTCCTAAGCCCAAAGCTAACTCAAAAATTTATTGATGATTTGAAACTAAAGTACAACTTCATCAACTCAATATTTGAACTATCTAACAACAATTCCAACACAAACCTATCATCAGTATAAAAAATTTGAGGCAAGTAAAATCCAACCAAACATGCACGAATAGTTTCATAGAAAGCTATTCGGAGCAAATTCCTCTTACTAATAAAACAATTTCCACACAATCAAATATAATGATGAATTTGCAAACTCTTATAAGAAAGAACTGAGAATCACTTCATTAGAGAGCTTGCAAACACTCTTAAGGTACAACTCACCCAAATAAAACTTAATCTTATCATTTCTCACATTAAGTGCATACTATTAAAATAAAAACCACATTGAACTTTTAATGCAATCCAAAAAGAGGGACATCAAAAAAGAACTAAAAGACATTAATCTCCAAACTACATTGAAATTTAACAGCAATAAAACCAGTGATAGCATCTTTCCCCAAATGCTTAACCTTGCAAACGAAAAGGACTATAAGATTATCTAAGAAGTTTCCTCTTCCAAAACCAGTTTCACTCAAAAAGACAATAAAGTAACAAACACTGTAAAATAGCAAATTCGGAAATTAACCTCAAAAGGCTCAATCTTGGGGAATCTCAACATCTCCATCAGCAATCTCCTGCTGCAAATCCTTGGGATCCTTCCCATCGACCGTGCACCCGACCGACACGCACGTGCCCAGAATCTCCTTCACGGTGCCGGCGAGATCCTTAGCCATGGACCGCGGCCGCATTACCTTCGCGATCTCGATGACGTCGTCGAGGGAGATGTTGCCGTTGTGCTTGATGTTCTTGGTCTTCTTCCGGTCGCGCTCTGGCTCCTTGAGCGCCTTGATGACCAGCGCGGCGGCGGATGGAACGACGGTGACCTTGGCCTGGCGGTTCTGAACCGTAAGCTTGACGGTGACGCGGAGGCCCTTCCAGTCCTTGGCGGTCTCCTTCGCGATGTCCTCGCCGATTTTTTTCGGGGAGAGGCCGAGTGGGCCGATCTTCGGCGCGAGGGAGCTGGCGGCTCCGACCTCGCCGCCGGTGACGCGGACGAAGACGTCGACGACCTGTGAGGGATCGAACTTCGGCGGCATTGCTGGCGGCTGCGGCTAGGGTTTGGGTGTGAATTGAGTGAGAGAGTGAAAGTGAATGAAAAAATGGAGGCAAATATGAGGAAGGTAAAGTAGGGTTTTTGGTGGGGGACAGTTGTATTGGGCTGGATTTTGGTCTCTGGGCTTGGGTATAATTTTGGTAAACGGCTTACTAATTGGCTTTGGCCCATTTCTCAATATTCGTCAAGTTTATTGTATACTAGATGATCAATGATCTATTTAGTTAGTAATGCTCCTCTATCTACGGCCCGACACATGTTAATATGTTCACCGCTTATGTGACATGCACACATTAATGAACATATAAAAATGTGACCACCGTTAGTAGAGAAGCATCACTGATAATCTATATACTTCGAAGAAAATAACAAAATGTATTTGCTAAAAGTTGTGTACATAAAAAGTTAAATATTTAGTATATTTGAATAGTGAGGAGATGTATTGACTTCTAATATATAACCATTATTAATTTTAATTTTTGAGTGTTTTTTATTAGGGTGATTAATCGTTTTCTTTCTCTAACACTCCTCACTTACTTGCTTATCTTTAAGAAAGAAAAAAAAAAAAAAGTCATTTTTACAATGTCTCTCCCTCTCTCCACTCTATCAGAACAGTAGTTCCTTTTAATGGTGTCGGAGAGAGAAAGATGAAAACCTCAAGCTAATTTTATTGTTAATTCATTGTATTGTTCTTTTCTCTTTATATCATATCTTAGATCTCGATCTATAGTGATTTTTGTCATAAAATTGTGTTGTTTATTAGATAATACTTCCATGTTTTCACAAGTGTTTGACGAACTTACATAATGTGTAATAGTACCAGGATTTGCCATAAACCTCACCTTATGCTCAGGGTGCAGAGTTCGAGTCTTTAGGAGGACAAAAGCCACAAAGAGTCCAAAACATGAGTTTTCACAAGTCCTGGGGAGGGCAAAAATCACATAGAGTCGAAACATGAGTTTTCATCCTAGGACAAGAGCAGTGTGAAAGTTCATGAGTCCCCGATGCATTGTCATGACTCACCGGGGGTCCAACCCCCTCAAGTGGGAAAGACTGGCGGTTACGACCGTCAACACATATTTTTAGAGTCTCAATATTTCGTTATATTCGTAAAATCGTTTAAATATATAACTGAAATTCTTAGATTTAAGGTTTTATATATGTTGTTCAATTCTCGTTTGAAGTATAGGTGACTTATAAGTGCATATGATTGTGTTTGCTATCTGTCGATGATGTTGTCTTCTTGCGAGCAATTGTTGGATCGTCGAGAAGATGTCATGAACTTATTGTATTTACTCTTCCATTTTATAACTTTTTTTTTTAAATTTGTTTAATTGTGTTTAGTTGTAGGATTGCTATTTATTTTAATATTAATATCATCATTTTAAAAAATAGTATCATATTTTCATTTAAATAAAACTGATTAAAATAAAAACATGATAGTGTTAACACAAGCACAATATACAGTGGCATGATTGGTCACTCATATTTACTACATAATTGAGCTTGAATAAATACTAATATTTTTGAAGTAGAAAAAATAAAACTATTTTTTTTTTATTTTTTTCTAATTCCCATTCATATTCATTTACACGCACTCACTCAGCCTTCCCACCTACTATCTGCAAACATATAAAGAGCCAAGTTGACTTGTGACTCCACCTAATAAGACTATATAAATATTAAATTAATACATCATGCTCTAAAATAAATTTTAAGAAGATTTTACGGTTCTGTTACGGAATCATTCGATCGGGTTTGTAATCGTTAGATCAATTATTCTCGACGATTATATGATAATCTAATCGTTACAAATCTCAATGAAATGATTCTGTAACAGACCGTAGTATTTCCCTAAATCTTATTTAAGACTAGCCCAAAATTTTAATACATAGTCTATGCATGTCCATATTAATACACTCAAATGGCCAATAAAATTTCATAACTAATTGATTAAAAAAAAAAATGTAAGATCATATTTGTTTCGGAAAATTGCTCCGTTTAATCCACCGCCGTTCAATTCCCGGCGGCCATCGGCCGGCGGCTCTCTAACCCACCCGATATATATCTAACCCGGAGTTTTCACCGACCCGACCCTCTGCTGAAAGAAGATCCGAAGCGAATTTACAAGGATTCAGAGGCGGAGAGAGATGTATAAGAACCAGCTTCAAGAGCTGGCGCAGAGGAGCTGCTTCAACCTGCCGACGTACACGTGCCTGAGGGAGGGTCCCGACCACGCGCCGCGGTTCAAGGCCACCGTCACCTTCAACGGCGAGACCTTCGAGAGCCCTCACTACTGCCCCAACCTCCGGCAAGCCGAGCACTCCGCCGCCGGGGCCGCCCTCGCCTCCCTCTCCTCCCGCGGCCCCTCTCAATTGCTCGCCGCCCGCGTCCTGGTACCCCCGTTCGTCTCCTTCGCTGATTTCATTCAATTCGTTTTGTCAATCGTCTGAATTTGTATTTGATCGAGGAATTGTTACCCTAAATCGCGACCCGTATACGAATCAACCTTTTTTTGTTCTTTTCTCAATTTTCGACTTTGAAAATGTGAAAATAACTTGAGTGTTTTGCGCCGGCAAGTTTCCGAGTTGACTGTGGACTTCGCCGTGGTTCCCGGCGATCGATCGGCGCCGGTGTCAGTGTAAACGAGTTTTTTTTGAAATGACCATATTAAATGGGAAGTGACCGTTATTTAATGCGCAAAGCCAATCAATTGCTGTTGTTTAACTTTCGCCTACCGGAGAGATGCTACAATCCTGTTACGAAACCATTTTATCGGGTTGTAACCGTTAGATCAACTATTTCAGACAGTTACACGATGATCAACGGTTACAAATCCCGATGGAATAGTTCCGTAACGGGACCGGGCTGCGTTTCCCACTTTTAGGAGGGTACTTTTGTCATTTTCAGGACAAGCAGAAAATGAAGATAACCTCTTTATTATCATCTTTAATTAAATGATTTCAACATATGAATCTAGAAACTAGAGAAGTCAAAGTGGTACAGTTTAGAAGAGAAGTTGTTTATTAGTTAGTTATACTGAATTCTTGCTTGATGAAGACACTAGGTGTGAAATTTCTTCGTTGTTATTTATACACATTTATTGTATTTAATTAATATATTTACTAATAATTATAGATACATCATCTTTGATGAAGGTTGCAATTAATATGAATGCATTTAGAATTGGAGTGGATAGGTACCTAACATTTTACAATTGGGTTGATTTATTCTTGTTAGTCAACTTCAATTGGGGGCAAATTATGTGAGTTCAAATTTATCTATATAAGTATAGTAAGTTGATCTTGTGATCAGCGTAATATGTATTTTCGTTCAAATAGTATGACGACCCGTCTAACGGTTACGCTGCCTCGCACAAGAATTGATGTGGTATGATTATGGGATTATCGTGTGAATACAAACTATTGTGTTAGACCGGTCGACCCCCATCGTACTCTGAACAAAAAACGTATACTTGTACAATCAAATGTCGTTTAAGTTTGTTTACTTTATTTTTTTTTTTTAAATTATGACATTTTTCTAATAAAACTATGCATATTTGTAGAAAAAAAAGAGTATTGATGTGGACTATAGATTTAATTGTTGATAAGGTTAGGTGTGATTGGGTCTCCTTTTCTTTTCTGAAATGAAATTCAGAGGAAGGGGCACAATTTATAGCCTTGTCTCCTTCAATTTAATGTGCTTAACAAATGCATGCTGCTCCATACATATGGCTTGTAAGTCCATGTTTTATCTATCTTGAGCTGCCTAACTTCATCTCTTCTAACTGAATGTCGGAAAAAAACAGAGAAAGTATAGACCTTTTGTTTAAGAAATAAAAATCGAGATGAACAAAAAGCTCGTACGAGAAATAGGTTCGAAATCGGAATAGAAATGGACTTTAACTACATCATGCTAATCCTGAACCGGAAACTGGCACTATAACACGACATTTCATTACATATCTCGTTCAAAAACCGTGATGAAATTTTGGAACTTTGTTTTGATGATTAGGATGAGACAGGGGTTTATAAGAACCTGTTGCAAGAGATTTCACAAAGAGTTGGATCCCATTTGCCTCATTACACGACATTCAGGTCTGGTTTAGGACATTTACCGGTTTTCACTGGTACGGTTGAATTGGCCGGAATCACGTTTAGGGGAGAACCCGCAAAGAACAAGAAGCAGGCCGAGAAGAATGCTGCTCTTGCTGCTTGGTTAGCATTGAAAAAATGTGAGTCATGAGCTCGTGTAGAGTCTCAAAAAAGAAAAGGTAACTAACTAACTTCGGTTTTCCACTGTTTTGGTTTTACTTTTTCCACAGTGGCACAGCTAGAAGAAGCGAGTTCCTCTGAAGAACACGAAAATAACAACGATGACAAGGAACGGATCAAAATCGCAAGGGCCTTGCAGAATTACAGTCTCCAGCTAAAAAAACCCGAAAACCCAAAAAATCTGGAAAAATCTCTCCCTCTACCATTTCACACGCAAAGCAACATTATCCTCCCCCACTCGACCTCAGCATCGAAAATCCTCCCTCTCTTCTCCCGTAAAACACACGAAAAGTTATCACGACAAATACTCTTGCCGGATTTTCAGGTTCCTTATGTTCCGATGGATCGACGGCGGCAAAAAACTTACCGTGGAATGGCACCGCCTGTAATGGTGCGTTCGGCTGTGCCGGTTTTCTCTGCACCGCTGTTTCAGCCGCCAGCAATGAGGTTGGCGCCGCCACCTGTGCATGCCAGGCTGGCGGTGCCACTGTTCGCATGTGGGCCAGGCCCGTTCGGAGTTCCGGCGACCCTTGAGGAAATTGTCGCCTCCGGTAGTGATGTCATGTGTGATGTGGACGAATCAACGGCCCTCAAATGCCTCGAGCAGCTTGAGATATGATGATTGTGGCCGGCAAAAAGGCACGAGCTTTTTTCTTCATTTTGTTGGTTTTCTTGATTCACATGTAATATTGTTTTTGTTCGATTGCAAATCTCTTATGACTGTAAGAATAATTAATTAATATTATTTAATTATATTAATAATATTGAAGATGGTAGAGTTAGAGATAAACTTAGATTAATATAACTTGAGTTAAATTTTGAGTATGTAATGTTTCTTTGTATTTCGACGAAACTTGCCCTTGCAGTCTTGATTCTGGGCTATGAGAAGAGAAAGATATAGAAACGCCAAACCTTGAACAGATTCGAACACTGAATTTACACTGTTCTGCATCGTATATACACAAGAAGGCACACCAAATGTATGCCTTCTATCAGTTCTATATTTGTCTAATCACAAGTACAAAAAAATTATCAAGCGAAATTAATACAAATGACAAAGAAATCCTCCAACATTGTGCCAGTCGAGGATATATTTCGTCATCTTGATGCCAAAGACCAGAAATTCAACAGAAAAGAAGGCAGTGAAGCGAACCAACTCAGGAAGGCCATGGCTGTAGCTGTTTCGAATTCTGTGCAATGATTTCTATCACACGACCCCAAATCGTTTCCGATTAGAACAGTAATGCCAGCAGATGCACAGGCAGCAGCAAATGTTAGGGTAGAAGTTACCTGCAAGAACAAAAATAAATAGAAATGTTTCTTATATCACTAATGTAGTGGGATGTGAAAAGACCTTCAAAATCCAATCATAGTAGAGAAGGTTAGGTTTGGTAAACCAAGAAAACTCATCCAGTTACGTAAAAGAGATATGGGCGATGATTTGGACTAGTAAATTTGACAGGCTTCTTGATGGAGATTGTTTTTTTTTGGTGTTTAACATCAAGTCATCAACCAAATAATTTTGTCACGATTTAGGAGAAAAGTCGTAAGCACGTTAATACCAATGGTTATGGAGATAAGGAATGATCAGAGACATGGGTTCACTTAGAGAACAAATCTGGAAAAAATATTTAATTGAATTGAATTGAAACCTTAAAGAAAGAAAATAACTGGATTTCCAATGAGTACAAGCGTCAATTACCTGAGCCAAACAGATATTAATAAACTACTGCTAATTTTTAATGATATTTGGCGTTTGGATACCTCTAATAGAGTGAACTCTACTTGGATAAAAACAAAATGACGGTTCCAGTACAGAAGCCCGTCTCACATGTTTGTCTAACACTAACAGCACATATATACCTTAATCAAAGAGGAAGCACAACTGTACCAGGTGATTATGCATATTCAATAACCAGAGATCACAAACTAATAATTAACAACTGGAAGTACAATCATATTCAAATTTCTGGAATATTGATAATGAAATTGCATTAGATTGATCAAAATCAAACAACCCGCGGTGCGACAAAAATCTTGTGTGTCTTGTAGAAGCATCACATTTTGCAAAAACGAAGTCAATTTTGTCTTTATATAAAAGAACCGAGAAATTTCATAAAATGGAGGAACAGAAAAAGGAAAGCAAAACACAGTAGGATGGAAAATCAGTGAAACATGGTGAACCTATGACCATGGCGCAGTACATAAAACTAAAGTCGAATAAGGAAATGTTACTACACGGTTAATTAAGTATTGCGTATCAACAGGCTCCCAAATATATGAAGCTTGTCAAATATTTATGCATCTATAAATGAACAATAAAAAGATACCCTTGCCACTTCAGCATTAGATCATCATCTTATCAAGCACTGATCTCTCACCCACCGATTATTATAACACCCTTACAGGCCAAAATAAACATCACAAGGATATCATTTCAATTCGACATTTAGCTAATGCAATAGTTACTGATGATTAAATATGTGATGAGTAGGGTTAGTAAATAATCAAAAAGCTAAATGAAAGTCTAGCAACAAGAATGCTCAATGTGTATGTGATTATTCCAGCTCAGCGATGAACTTACCCCATCACCTACAGCAAATAAACTAACGACTCGAGGATTCTGCAAACGACGTCCGACAAGAAGTGCATAAGCATCAAGAATTGCTAAAACAAGACTCCACAGGCTCTGAAAACCAGCAGCAGCAACGAGGTAGCTAACAAGATGAAAACAAAAAGAAACTTAGAGCCTATTTATATAAGACCAAACAAACTGACATACTTGCATCAAACAGAACATTTTCTTGGAAAACCACCACAGAAGTCTTTAACAGACATAAGCCCATAACAAAATAAAAGGGAAATAAAAGTGTTTTACAGACATCCTGAAATATGAACTTCCTTGTGTGACATACAAAATGTAAAAATTACACTTCCCAGTTACATCTATTCATATTTGTTCCTTAATGCAGTTGACTAATATTACTAGGTGGAAGGAGTCTATTAGATAAACAATCAGAAAGTATGATAAAGCACGTAGCATTCAGAGTTCAAAAATGCTCAGCAATATCATCATAGAAAAAGAACACAACAAGTTCCCCAACCCAATTTCCATCAACCTCATTGTGCAACAAGGACTGACAGTTTGTTGTAAGCAGATTTATAATTTCGGTCAGGTTTAAGAAATATATTTCCCAAAACATCATACCCGCTGCAAAAATCGCATGAGATACTCCAGACTCTTTTGAATTCCTATAATTTCACTCGAACCCCTAATTTTATCAACCCTTCATTGCACTAACTAAGGCATCAGACAATTTGACATTTGATAAGAGAGTAGATAATATTCATGGCAGGACACAGCAAATACATTAATGGAAACCAAAACCCCTCTAATCGAGCAACTTTCCACAGGCCCATGGAACCAGTTACTTTTTACAATGAACAAGCCATACAAATTAATCATGACTACTCTAATTTACAGAAGCAAACTTCGCATTTCCAAAATGAAAAATCAATATCTAATATCTTGATAAGCTAACATCACCAGACAAATGCAAAAACTCAATAAGTCTATTGAAGTTTATTTCATCCGGAAATTATAAAAAGATAAGAGCCTAACGAGTTTCAGGGCTATCTTACAGTACTGACAAATTCATTTCGTCTCAACTATACCACTAACATGAGCTGGATCGACCACTTCCATCCGAATCACGCTATTCATTGTAATCAAAGCACATGAAACCTCAAAAAAAGTAAACTGAAACTTGTATTGCATCTAAAGCAACCATTACCCAAAGTCTAGAACAAAGGATTTTAACCAAATTAGTGAACGATTGATCAGAGTAAAACTGAATTACCAGAAGGCAGTGACGGAAGGGAAGTCACTGGTGGTTGCCATCACCGTTAGGGCCACGACTGCGAACACGAGCTGCGCCACGCGCAACGCCAGGCCGCCGACTGTCCCCGGCATCCCCTGAAGATCCCTCATCCTCACGCGCGGCAGCGGAAAGTTCCCCGCACCCTCCGTCTGCAGAGGCGGCGCCTCCACAGGGTGCACGGCCGCCTGGCTCATGTTCATCTCCCTCGCGATTAATTTTCCGAGCGCGCAATGAATTCCCCAACTTCAGCGTATACAGACAAGATCATACGAGTGCGTGGTTGAGGGCCGAGATCGAGCCGTAGTTCCGATCTGCGCCAGCGGAGATTGGTTGACGCGCGGAAAACAAGTCGTTTTGGTTCAGGCGGCAAGAAGACCGACGGAGGTTTTTCCTATTTCTGGTGGGCCATTTTTAGAGATCGGAAGAAATAATATAATAGAATGTCGAAATGTTCGACCCGTTTTAAAATTTTATACCCATTTTTTTTTAAAAAAAATTGTATTATTATTTATATTTAATCGGTTATTTTTTTTTTTTGGTACAATAAAGGAGGTCAAAGGCGTTCGATTCTCTTTCAGAAGAGGGGTAGGGTTGTGGGTAGATTTCGCCGTAGGGGGGTTTTCCTTTTGATTCTCATTCTCTTTCAGTTCCTGTTTACCTATGGGGGGTGAATGTGAGTGAGGGCTTCTTTTTCTTTCTTTCTTTTAGCTGTTTCTGTGGTGTGGGAGGTTTTGTGCTTTTTTGGTGCTTTTTTTTTCTGTGGTTTATGATTTGCAGGTTTCTTGATGGACTCGAAGGTAGCATAAGACACCAATTCATCGGACAATCCTGAGGATTTGGGAATTAGGTTCAAGGGGATAGATCTATCTGAGCCAGAAGTTAACCTTATTGAGCTGAAAGATGATGATATTAAAATTGGGGCTGAGGAATGTGAGCGCGGTCTATTTGGGAAAGTCATTGAAGATAGACGGGCTAGCTTGCTGGGGATAAGGAGAACAATGGGATTTATATGGCAGATCAGAGATCAAATGGAGGTAAAGGAGTTGAAAGATAATTTTTTCCAGTTTATGTTTGGCAATTTGGAGGATAAGAAAAAGGTGTTATCGGGAGTCAATTGGGTGTTCGAAAATCAATTCCTAATTCTTAGAGAATGGGAGGAGGGCCTTACAGAACATCATAAGGCTTTCTCTGAACTCCGGATGTGGGTGCAAGCGAATGATCTACCTTTGAACTGCCTCTGCTCCAAAGTGGGAAGGAAAATTAGAAGTATCTTCAAGCAAGTTCAGAATGTGACGGTTATAAAAGCAGGAGGGATTCGGGGTAGCTTCCTCAGACTTCTTGTAGTGGCTGATATTACTAAACCTCTACCTCGTTGTGCCAGTATTAAACTCCATAATTCTATTTTTCGAGTATCCTTCCAATATGAAAGATTGATTAACATCTGCTACTATTGCGGGATCATAGGACATTTAGAGAGAACTTGTCATAAACGAAGCTCTGACTTCTCTAATGGACCGCTAAAGGAGGGTCAGTATGGGGATTGGATGAAGGCCCCAGAAGGGTATGTGAGAGCTAATTAAGGTCCTTCAAGTCCTTTCAATAGCCATTCTACTGAGAATATTCAACTAAACTCAGGGAGAATCTCTACTGAAAAATCAGTGGATAACCAGGCTATTGCGAGTAATAGTTCACAATCTAAGATCCTGGTTCTCATTCCAAAATCCTCTCAGCTTGAATTAGTGGAAAGCCAGGATGAAAGAGTGCTTGAGATGAGAGGCCCCAGTGAGATACACATTGAGCAGGTAGGGGAAAAGTTGAAGGCAGTGCAAGGGGGAGAGGAGGGGCAAATGAGTACAGGAATAGATGACATGAAGGCAAACTGTCAGGATAATCTTCTCTTGATTGGCACTGAAGAACTGAAGGAGAAACTCCCAAAGGAAGAGAACCAAATTTCTAAATCGAGGGGGTGGAAAAGACTTAGTGACAGACATAAAGTGTTAACTCCAAAGGCTAAGGAGGCTCTGTCACAACACACTGTTAAAGTTTCTAAAAGAAGATTGGTGATAGAGGAAGGGACTGAAGAGAGTCAAGAGGAAAAGGAGATCACAGCTAGGATTTCCAAAAAGCTAAAGACTGATTCTGAAAAGGTGGAGGTGGCCAGCCTTGAATGGGCCCAAGTTTCCAAATGAAGCTGATGGTGTGGAACTGTAGAGGGTTGGGTGGACCCTCTACTGTTTCCCAAATCAAGGAATCTTCAAGATTCCACCATCCGGACTTTATTTTTATTTTAGAAACAAAAAAAAAAAAAAGACTTTGTTCATTCAGTTTGTAAGAAAATTGGTTATAGAGATAGATGGACAGCAGTGGATCCTTATGGTCTTAGTGTAGGCATTATACTTCCCTGGAACAAGGAGATGAGTATTCTGCAAATTGTGGAACATGATTTCTGTTTTGAGGTTCAAGTGAAGGGAAAACCAGGGTGTCCTTCTGTGTGGTTGATTTTTGTGTATATGAGTGTGGACAAGACAGTGAGAGTTGAGCATTGGGAGGTTCTTGAGAGGGCTAAAGAAAAGTGGGGTAAGCACTGGATTTTGGGTGGAGTCTGGAATGCCATCAGAGATCCTAATGAGAAGAAAGGAGGTAGACTCAAATCTGTTCAAGATTGCAAGGGCTTTAATGAGTTTGTGTCCAGAATGGAGATGCAGGAAGTTTATAATGCGGGTTATCCCTACACCTGGGCAAACAACAGAGATCAAGAAGGATTTATAGAGGAAATGATTGACAGATTTTTTTGCTCCTTTGATTGGCTGATAGATTATCCTGATGCTAAGGTTACGAATTCTTATCAAAGTGCCTCGGATCATCGGCTTCTCATTTTCTCTGATACTTGCCAAAGGGAAGGAGTGAGGAAGAAAAGATTTTTCTTTAACAAGAGTTGGCTTAAAAGGGAAGGGGTCAAAGAGGTGGTGGCTAAAGCTTGGGGTGTGTCGAAGATTGGTACTCTTATGTATAAGGTGACTGAAAAGATCAAAGAAGTGAGGGTAGCCTTACTTCAATGGAGTAGAGTCTTCAGAACAGAAGATCTGAGGGAGAAACAGAGAATCACAAACAAACTTAAAATTTTGAGTGGTCAAGGTGCAGATAGAAATTGGTATGAATGGGAGGATTTAAAAGTGTGTTTGGACAGAATTAATTTGAAGGAGGAAGAGTTTTGGCAGCAAAAGTCCAGAAGCCAATGGCTTAGAGAGGGAGACTCAAACTCTAAGTACTTCCATGCTCTAACATTGCAAATGAGACATTTCAACAATATTCAAAGGCTGCAGGATTCTGAGGGAGTAGTATGAGAAGATCCTCAACAGATTGAAAGATGCATTTGCCAGTTCTATAAGAATCTGTTCAAAGCAGAAGGGTCAACAGGAGATGATGAGATTTTGCATCTTATTCCAGTTTCCATAACTGAGGCTATGAATGATGAATTGGTGTCTCCAGTTACTGAAGAGGAAATCAAAGAAGCTCTGTTCAATTTGAACCCAGGAAAGGCTCCTGGGCAGGATGGTATGTCTTCTATCTTTTTCCAATCTTTTTGGGATGTTGTTAAAGTTGATCTGTGTGAAGCAATTTTTAGTTTTTTCTCTTCTGGGAAATTGCTTAAGAACTGGAATCACACTCTCATTTCCTTAATTCCTAAATGTCCCAACCCTGTGTCAATAGGTAATTATAGACCTATTAGCCTATGTGGTGTCTCTTATAAAATCATATCCAAAATCTTGACATCTAGACTTAAAGGCTGTCTTCATTATTGTATTAGTCCTAACCAAAGTGCATTCATTCATGGTAGACAGCTTTTAGATATTGTCATTATTGCTCAGGAGGCTATTCATTATTTAAACAGACATAGAGAGAGAAAAAAAGGGATTATGGCTGTTAAAGTTGATATGGAAAAAGCTTATGATAGAATTGAGTGGAGTTGTGTGGAAAAATTTTTGGGAAAAATGGGCTTTCATTCTTATTTTGTGAAGTGGGTGATGGCTTGTATTTCTTCTCCTTAATTTTCTTTTAACATTAATGGAGAGATGAGAGGGTTTGTTGAAGCATCTAGGGGACTCAGACAGGGTGATCCATTATGATTGGTCGGAAAAAGTGTGTGTTAAATATATTTATTAGCGTATTTTTATATGCTTAATTTTATCGCACTTATATATTTTCT